AAGAGATCGTCAAATATCGAGGGAATGAACCTATTGCATACAAAAGCAGTGCAGGTTATTTTATTTACAAATTTGAGCGAAATAAAGCTATCGTTGCGAGTCTGGATCAATGGTCGTCATTCTGGAATACATCCGACAACGTAGCTTGGTTTCTAATCATTTTTGTTACTGCAGAGTAAGAAAATTATTTTTATCAGATTTCCGTTGCGTTCGCGGATCCGTCACTCACACCTGAAAATCCTGGGTGGCCGCTGCGAAACTTTTTGTTCATGTTGAAGGCGAAGTGGGATGTAAAGCGAATTAATGTGATTTGCCTTCGTGAGTCTCCTGGAAAAGTTGATTTCAGCACGAGCATTGTTTTGGATGTTAATCTTCCTGGTGAAATTAAATTCGATGGTTTGGATTGACCTCTTCTTGTGACGAGATTTGCTTTACTGAAATCAGTTTTAATTATGAAGTTGGTCCAAAAATTCTTGGCTGGGAAAAGAACAATCAAGGTAATCTTGGCCCTCGATTAGCTGATTTGGCTCCACTAATGGATCCAACAAGGTATGTGTAATTTTTTTTTGCTCAATTGGTATTTCATTCACGGTCATTGTTAGATTGGCAGATACCGCTGTAGATTTAAACTTGAAACTTATGAAATGGAGACTCGCCCAATCACTTGACCTTGAAAAGATATCTGGTTTGAAATGTTTGCTTTTTGGTGCTGGTACGCTTGGATGTTACGTTTCAAGATTATTGATGGTAATCATATATGATGTACATTTTGCTGAATTATCGTGTTTTTATGAGCATCTTATTTCAGGCATGGGGAGTCCGAAATATTACATTTATCGACAACGGCAAAGTGTCGTTTTCTAATCCAGTTCGGCAACCTTTGTTTGAATTCACAGATTGCCTAAATGGTGGGAAACCGAAAGCGCAGACTGCCGCTGAAGCTTTAAAGAAAATATTTCCGGGCGTGGTCAGTTTATTGCTTCAAACAACTCCAAAAAAATTAATATCATACTGCAGAATGCGAAAGGTTTCGATATGTCAATTCCAATGCCAGGACACCCTGTTTCAGCACAGGAAAGGAGTAAAGTCGAATCTACCACAAAGCAAATAACGGAATTGGTAGAATCACATGACGTTTTATTCTTACTCACCGATTCAAGAGAAAGTCGATGGCTTCCTACTATTTTAGGAGCTTCATTTGGAAAGGTGATGCTTTTCTTTTTACGCATATTTCTTTATATTCATCCGCAACAATAATTAGATTGTTTTAACAACCGCACTTGGATTTGATACCTATTTGGTAATGCGACACGGGATGCGCATTTCAGAACCTAATCACGCAGTTGTGGAAGAGAAGCGTTCGAATTATACCAATGTAAATTTGGGTTGCTACTTTTGTAATGATGTAGTTGCTCCGTCTGATGTAATGATCCTTGGTTCCGTACTGAAATTTGGCTAACATACTTTTTTAATTATAGTCGTTAAAAGACCGCACTTTAGACCAGCAGTGCACAGTTACCAGGCCAGGAATATCAGCTCTCGCAAGCAGCTCTGCTGTAGAAATGCTTGTCAACATTCTGAACCATCCACGGGGGTAACGTTGACAGCATTTTCAATGAATTTGAATTTAATCGGTTCTCTGGCAGTGGTTGGGCGGAAGCACCATTGAAATCTGATCCATCTGAACCAACAAAATCAGAAATGGGACTTGTTCCACATCAAATTCGGGGATTTCAGACGCATTTTACAAGTTTATTGGTAGTTGGACAAGCATATGAGAAATGTACAGCATGTTCTGAAGTGGTCGGTTCATTAGTTGGTTGTGTTTGCGAACTGATAAATGAAAACCATTATTTTTTTAGGTATTAAATGCATATAAGGCAGGAGGATTTGAATTTTTATATAAAGTATTCCACTCATCAGTGTTCTTGGAAGACTTGACTGGCTTATCTGAAATGCATAAAGAAACTGAAGGGACTGATTTGGATTGGGATGATGAAAGTGGAGATGAGGTTCTGGTGTGATGAAATTCATTGAGTTAATAAATCTTCACCTTTTGGGCAATTAGCAATTGCTATGCTCTTCTCCCTTGCACACAAAGATGATTTCAAACATTTGTTATTGTGAGGAACGCAAGCACACTAATATAAAACACTAGTTTTAAGTAGTTGGTCCAGTTCAAATAAGATCCCAGCTCACCAAAGCAAAAATATCAAGGATAGTTATTTTAAAGATTTTATGATTTAAGTAAACGCTTTTGAACGTAATACAGAAAAGGGGTCACTTAGTTCAGTTGGATAGAACGCTTGACTACGGATCAAGAGGTCCCAGGTTCAAGTCCTGGAGTGATC